CTCTTCGAGTTAAATGACTGATTCATAATTTAAATCCACGAGCAATTGCAAGTCTTTCTTTCCAACTTTTTGAGTGGATTCTATCCACACCTCTTAAATTCGCTTCAGTGTATGACATCTCATGTATACATTTTTCTTTCATCAAATTTGGCAAGTTCATTATAATATTTTACAAGAACATTCTTGTTTAACAGGAGATGACCATACCCTACAAGTATGATGTCCTCCTCACAATCTGGATGTACATAATCTCCCATAGGCATGTAGTCTTCATTAAATTTTTCAATTGCTTATTTAAACATCTTAAATATTGTTGAAACCGCAAGAGCTTGAACCTTAAGGGGTCAGTAAATGTATACAAGCAGTAGCCAGTATAATGCCATAACAAAATTTATAATATACGTCTTCTACAAGCTAATCCTCATCGTCCATGTCAAGATTATTTATTGCAAAAATTATGTTGTTTTGCCAGCGTCAAAATTTTACATAGTTGAATAGTACCTAGGAAGAACATCAAATATAAAAGAGATCAGGATTGTAGTTGGTAGCCAAAAAAATAAAACAAAAAGAATAATCGAATCCAATATCAACTAATAAACTAGAATAAAACAAATTATTCCCCGATAACGATATCAAAAACTTGTTCACATAAAACTTGCAAATGTACGAGATTGTTTAGAAGTAATAGATTTAGTGTGTTGAGTTATCGTCTCACGAGAAATAACTGGTGACTATAGTTTACCGATTTTTATCAAATTTGATCTAAATAATAAAAATAGTTTATTATTTTGTAATTATTCCATCTTACGCTACATATTATAAAAAAGGTTTTTATATTAAATAAGGAGATGGATGCATTGGTTTTAAGAATCCACCTATTGATTTCTATTTCTAATTCTTGACTTATACAAGTTAGTGTTATTCAAGTGTTCGTGACAATCAATAATCCACTAATATCTAATATTCTTTTTCAAAATATATTAAACCTATCGTTTGCATGACCCGACTATATTCCTAGTTTGAATTCACATGCAAAGGAAACATTCAGTCAATGATTATCACACACGATTGTACACACCATAAATATTATTCCTAACATCTATTGTCCATGTGTCAATTATGCAACGTTCTAACCTATTGCGAGTTTCCCAACACTACAATAAGCAATAAATTATCTAATGGTAGCTAAGCAATCAAATAAGGCAATAAGCATGCATAATTAATCATAAAACACAATAAAATAACTAAATTACGAACGGGTCTCAATATGTGATTGAAAATTCAGAGCATAATTTTTTGGTTGAAAACTGATGTGCGATAATACTCTGACTATATTTTCCCCTTTTAACTTCTTTTCTCATCCTATAGACCCCTAGCTCATCTTGAATCTTTATCTTGAGGTCCGATACAACTTTTGGGTATTACCTCTTACGATTTAGCAATTTTTTTTACCATTTTTTCCAATTCCGTCATTAATTCGATTTGTACATAACAAACACAATATACATAGAATTAAGTCATAATTCATCAAAAGGACCAATAAATAGTTCAACTTAAAGTCCGAAATAAGTGTACAAAATGCACTTATCATCCCTCATTAAAGATGGATAGAGGCGGAGAAGAGACCTCCTAGCTGATGTAGATAGCGAGACCATCGGTGAGATAAACACAATCTTCAAAAGCCTACACTATAGGAAGATAATGACCCCTCAATGGCAAGTTTCATTGTCAACAATAATTATCCCCAAGAGGGCACGTAGTGCAATCTATCACCTTCACCAGGAATATGCGATAGGCCTACACTACCCCCATTGTGATTCCCGGTGGTAAGAGCCATTGTGGCATGCAAGAGCTTGAAGTGAATGTTAGTGGACAATGGAAGCTCGTCAATATAATATTTGGTTCCACTTATGATCAATTGCAAGTAGATCATGAGCTAACCCCCATGTCCTCCACATTATATGGATTCACTAGCGATAGCATCATCCGAGAGGAAAAGATCATCCTTGTTGTATAAATGGGCAAAGCACATTAGATAGCCCACCACTATATGAAATTCTTAGTAATAGACAACAGGCCAGCCTACCATAGGATATCAGGAAGACCTGCCTTGAAAGAATTATGGGATGTCATTTCCATTCATCACATATGTATAAAGTTTCCCACAGAGCACGACATCGCTACTATTAGAGATGACCAGTGGGAGCTAGGGAATGATACTTAAACTTCCTAAGAAAAGCTGAGCCCCGTGAAATTAATATGTGATAAGTATGTTTTTGCATGCATATTTGTCCTTTTAATCTTGCTAAATTATAATTAATTTGAGAAAATTACTACCAAATTATATGAAATTATGTTATTTGTAGGGAAAAAATCAAGTCTGTGAGCAATTGATGCAAAAAGTGGTGATTTTTAGCTTAATTATAGATTAGTTCGGGCTCTTAAAGATCGTTCGGGGTTGTAATTGATCAATTGGAAGAAGTTTTGGATGCAATTGGATGAATTCATGAGACTAAGGATGAAAAATTGGCAATTGAAAAGTTTGGGGATCAAAATGAAAGTCCTGGAAAGTTGGAATAAATTGTAAGTGGAAATTGTGCCACGGGTGGACCATGGTTTGCAAACCAGTGGCCCACCAGCCCTCGTTGAATTCACCTGCATACGGCAGGTGGCCATTGGGTTTGCAACCCGTGACCAACCCGTAGCAAGCTCCTTTTGGGCATTTTTACTTTCTTTTTTTTTATTATTTTCTTCTAGTCTTTTTGAGTTTGTTTTGGATGTGATCTCTTATAAAAAGTATAATACTAGGGTTCCACAACTTGAGAATTAGAGAGAAACACATCGAAGAAAATCAAGAAATCAAGATCTCAAGACTAGGGTTTGAAGCATTGATTTGGTCAAGTAGACAATCTTGGTGCAAGATTCATCCATTTTTCTACATCTTCATTTAAAATCCGGTAATGTACTAAATAATAATTCTTTTTTTTTTCTTCATTCAATATGATTAGCAAAACTTTTTGTTAGGATGAACAATGTAGTTTATTGAACTTTTAACTCTATTTTCAAGATTCTATTTCTAAATTTCATGTGTTCATCTATAGTATTTAAGACTTGAATTACTTTGCCAATAATTCATTGATCTTGTGAGTCTATAACGAGTCAAGAGGTGAGTTGGGGAAAAACAGTATAGTGACTAGACCAAAATTCCCTTTTCAAATGAGCTGGTTGGGGTGCACGTGCCCAATTATTGGCCAAAATGGATGGTATGAGAAAGAAAATACCATTTGTACAAATAATGGTTGATTTGAGGGTTCAAATGTTAAAAACTGAACGATAGGACGATTTACACAATTAAGCCAAACACATTTTTTGCCAATTCGACTTTTATAAAACATGTGCAATTAGCTTAGAAAGTAAAGGTTGAACAATTCTAAAATCCTTCTCCAAATATTCATCCTACAACTTCCAAAATTCTTTAACTATTTCTTATCATTATTGCTGACCTCAATTTTTGATCTGTGACATGGATAACAGATCCTGGATTCACTCACGTCATTGATTAAAACTCCTACACACTTGGACAAGCCATTAGAAGCATGAAGCCTTTTATAGTGATGGCAAAGGCGATCGTGAGCACTTCGATGATCAAGTTAGTCAACTTATATATGTTCAAGTATGGGATGAACATTACGTGAACTATAAGTATGTGTATGGCCACAGGGTTATATAAAAAATATGATTGGACAATAATACTATTTAGAGTGTAAAATACTAAAGTTACATTAATTTTAAATGACGCTAAGTGTGAGCTTTTATAATAGAAGAGATGAAGTTGTTACAATTGGATCAAAGGACACGTAGCCTCATCTCAAAGGATGAAGCGTCTCATCTTAGGCATCACTTTTGTAGACCTCAATTTAGGAGCATTAAATGATTTTGAAAATGTCACCCAATGTTCTAAACCTGACATATGAAGAATGGACGATAAGTTTTGACGGAAAGGTGTCTGCTATAAAGATGTCACATCAATCAATATTAGATGTTGTATAGAAGATCTCTTGAAAGAGGTAAAGCATTTAAATGCCTTTTACGTTGAAATGATGGATGCTTCGGATTTACTCTACAACAAGTCATAGCACCTTTTCTCGACTATAGAGGGTCGAACTCTACATGACGCCTCGATTGAGGTCGACATCATTCCGACAACCTATTTCTAATGCCTCGACTAGGCTAGGTAGGATAGTGACGTAAAGTACATGCCTAAATTGTTGGCTAGATGGTTGTCACATGATCAATATTTGAAGTCTCATCTAATGAGGCATAACAGTTATGTTTATATATATTAAAAATGGTGGGGTTATATATTACCAAACAGTAACTCGTATAAAAAAGAGTAGTGGGGGCCTACGATTCTCCTTTCGCAGGCTATATGTAATTATGCATCAATATTGGATGGTCATTTCTACCCATGTGATAGAACAAAAGCCAAGTGATATCAAAGTACAATTATGTCATACTTAGCATATAGGATTGAATATTAGTTAACATTAATAACGAGGAAAAATATTTAAATTTTATTTATTATAAGTCTTATTACGATGCAAGTCGCAACACATGAACTTAGAGCAGTAATTATATTATGATAAGGAAATCAATTAATGCACAACTCTCACAAAATTATTCTTATTTTGTTGGGCTAAACTTTGGTATTAAGTGGAAGTTCCGATATGCTAATCTGTACTATTTTGAGGACGACACCTTTTTCTAATCTATTATAATTGATAAAATCAAAAGGGTAAATTAGGCCCACTACTCTATTAAAATAATTGAATTGAATAGTTAATTAAAGCATTTAACACCGTAATTAATACGTCCTAAAAGTTAAAATGTTATAAGCAATCATGGCTACAACATGCCAACGTCGATAAAATCTCAACTTTCAATGAAGAGTTCAAGAATGAATTTAGAGCTAGGGTTCATTACATCCCAGTTGAATGGCATCAAAATTTCAGCAATCGAGTTCTGATCTTTATTAGCGAAGAGCATCGCTGTGAAAATTCGTCTGACGCCATCCTATCTCTCAGATTCCCCGACTTATTCTTCAACGCCATTTCCACATACAAAAGCGCTTTACCCGATGTTATGTTGAGCATTCCACTGTCGTCCTTGCTGAGAATGATGATTTTACCACTTTGGTATTTTAAGGTCTGAATATCATCATTCACAACGACGTTCGACTGTTCAATGACTGGAGATATATGTTTTGGAATCCAAAGTTTCTCTTCGAACCGAAGAGAAACTTTGTTTCCAAAATCGGAAAAATCCCATAGCTCAATTTGTCTCATCAATACCGGACACTTACATTTTTGCTGTAAGGCTGTTATTGTTAATACTATCCACACACACCATTTATCAAGAAATCTATATTGAAACTATCATCAATTTATGTATGCAAATCTCTCTGTATTTGTCAGTGTTTTAAAAAGCGTAAAGCGTGGCTAGGCGTGGAGGTAAAGTTTCAAGCTTAACGAGCATAGGCGAAGCTCAGGCGTAAAAAAAACATTTTTATCTAATCTAATTACATAACATAGATAACTTATAGCTTAAATCTTATCTAATCTAACTCTTTATCGGACTCCAATTCAATATCTTCTTCTTCATCTAATTCGTCATCCGTATCATCTGATACGAAATCATCTTTCTCAGCTCCCTTATTTCATTTTGATCAATCCTTGCACCTCTTGTTGATTGTAAGATATCATTCTTCACCCTATCATTCTCCTCCTCAACCTCATCATCACAACCCTCTACAATTCAAGATTGTGCATTAGTAGCATTACTTGCTAGTAAAGTCTCTATTTGTCTTTTTCTTACTCATCAACATTGCATTAAATTGGACATAAAGATCCTCTTAGTGTCAAGTCTATTCCTTTTCTTGGTGTGTATCTACAAAAAAAAAAAGAAAAGAAAAGAAAAGAAATGTACATTTAATGGAGCATAGCATATTCAATTAATTATTCATTGGCCAAAAGAAATGAGTTGTGTACAGCCTAATAAGTACTTACTCCTTCAAAAAGTACTCCAATTTGTTTCACAACTTGATGAACTAGTAGTCAAACCAACTATCCTTTTTTCCAGTCTTTAAATATGGTGTTTCATTGCCATAGAAATACCACCAACTCACTAATAAATATAAATGAAAGAGAAACGTGTTACAGGGTATAATTCAAATTCCAGTGCAATAGGTTCACGTTAACTTTAAAATTCTAGTGCAACATTTTTCCCAACAACTTCAATACATTCATTGAACATGTTATACTCCAAGATGTAGAAAATCAATGAAGAGATAAAGTTAGGTATAGAACTTGCCAGGATTGTAGTTTGCATCATTGTTCTCACGTTCATTGAAAAAGTTATACTCCAATATATAGAAAATCAATGAAGAGATAAAGTTAGGGATAGAACGTACCAGGATTGTAGTTTGCATCATTGTTCTCACATCCACTTATTGCTAGCTTTTTTCCAAATGAACCTTCTTTCTGAACATATCTTTGAAAATCAATATTTATCACATGATATTGCATTTGATTATCAGGAAAGAGTTTCTCAACACAAGCAATCAAATTATTTATAATCAATTGATCATCTTTGATACATGGATTCATGAAAAAATAGAACAGATTCAAAAATAAGCTGTTGTATGAAGTGGACTATCAAGATGACCCTTGCTTTTAGCATCAATAATGTCTAAGATTGGCCTATAATCACTTTCCCTCTTCAATGTCATTTTAATGTCATCCTTTGTCTTTAGTAGCTCTCCATAAACAAAGCCCATTGAAGGCTTTTCTTCCCCGTCAACAAGTCTAAGCACGTTCACTAGTGGAGTGAACACTCTCAAACATAACTCTATCATGTTCCAAAATAATTCGGAACAACAATATCAAATGCCTCTTTTCCTTTTTTACTCCTAGACCATTTCGTGTTATCCCATTCATTGCTAGTCATCATACTTCTCAACTCTTGTTCTTTATCAAGCAAACTTTTCAATGTCAAGAAAGAAGCTCCAAACCTAGTAACTCCCGACCTAACTATCTTTTTTTTTTTGTGAACTTTCTCATTAAAGCCAAAGTCTTGTGATGTGCATAAATGAAAATAGTGAAGAATTTCACATTGTTAATCACTCTCTTGAAGCTAGGAAGTTTAGAGATTCCTTCAAGCATAAGATTTAAAATGTGAGTGGCACATGATGTCCAAACATGTTAGGCCTTTCTAATTCCAACAATTTTGCGGCTAGGTTACAATTTGAGCAACATTTTCAACCCCAATATCTTTAATGCATTCATTGACATAGTCAAATATGTATTGATCGGTATGAGCATCATTTGAAGCTTCCTTTGATGAAATAAATGTGGTCCCCAATTTACAATTCACACACAAATTCATGATGCTTCTTCTTTTTCTATCACTCCAAGCATCGGTCATGATTGAACACCTATTATTTTTCCACTTGTCTTCTTGCTTTTTAAAAGTTTCCTCCTCTCCACCTCTTCCTTTAAAAGTGGCTCCCTTAGTTGGTATTGGGAAGGAGGATTGTAACGCAGGCCATATTGACCAAGAGCTTCCATAAATAGTTTACAACTATCATTGTTAATGGCATTGAAAGGAATTTCGGCTTCATAAACCCATCTTGCCAAATATCGATGAACCTCTAATAACATTTTCTTAGAAATTACATCATTCATATTTTGTTGTCTCAATTTCTTACTTGCACTCATAGAAGCGTCATTGACATTAACAGACCTTGCAAATTGATCTATGGGTCCCACATTCATTGGCCTTTTCCTAGTCCTCCTTTCAATAATCAAAATTTCATTATCTTCTTCCTCTTTTAGCTTCTCATCTATTGTAGACAAATATGTACCCACATCTTCCCTCAACCTAGCATCATTCACTAGCTTCTCTATTTTTTTAGATTTGTTCCCTTGAATCGCCTTTGCACACTTGGCTTTATGTTCTTCACTTGCTCTAGGACATGATGCCACACATTTTCCCTTGATTCCCACTACGTGAATTTTATGTCTATAAATTCCTCCCTTAGTAACCTTATCACATAACATGCATTTCACATTATTAAGATTTTTAGGATCTACCAAAATTGCGGTTTCCCAACCAACATCTCTGAAATCTCTTTTTAGTTGACTAGCATGGAATTTAGATGTTGTTGAGGAATCATCTTCTTCTATTGGTTCCTACAAAAAAATATAAACAATACAATTTTTTATTATTCATTTAACAAACTAATAATAATTGAAATTAAACACAAAAGCCAGAGGCCCAACGGCAAGGACAAAGACACAAAGCAAGCAGTGAACTGTGAAGCACAAATGCACAATATCTTGACTCCTGTCTGGAATAGTAAAATCTACACTACAATATATTTATTATCCAAATTCCAAAACATTTGATTGATTGAGGGAACACCACAAAGAAAAAGAAGAATTGTACAAAATTTACCGAGAATCCACAAAATACTGAGAATCACATGCCCCAAAATTACAAATACAATGTAAAGCATAATAACTTCCTAATGTTATACATACCTGATACCCAAATTAGTGCGGTGTGCGGAGAAATTGAGAGGTTTTGCGCTGTTCTTCTGTCTTCTCAGTTCTCTGGAGTCTTGAGTTTTTGAAGTTTGAAGGGATAGTGGGCTACTGACTCTAGGTTGTAGGTTTTATTAAAAAAAAAAAAAAGGAAAAAATTGGGCTCCTTTAAAATTTGGGTCTGAGGTGGAGGCACACCTAGTCGTCCCTAATAACTAGGTGAGCATTAAGCGGTCAATATTGTTGTTGACGGCTTAATTTCCACTTATGCTCAAGGCGAAGCGTTTTCATCACGCTTCCCGCTACGTGCAATTTTTAGAACATTGGTGTTTGTTGGTTGCATATACAATAAAGTGCATTTTGTTATTTTGGGTTTTTGTTGATATAAGAAAGTTAAAACTTATTGAAAGATCTAAGAAAATTGCGTAAATTATATTCATTATACCATAGCAAGGTACAATAGTTTGCGTTTTCTTGTGCTTCTTTGATTGTACGTTGTTCGGGGAAGGGAATATGGAAAGTTAGCAAATTAAGACAAATATTCTTTTGAGTTTAGTTCTTGAATTTTTCAATCCCTTTTATTGGATTTTATTCATGTTTAGGTACCATGTTTGACATCTCTATTTCCATCTTAATTAAATCATAAATCATAATATTGGCGTGAAAAATAAGATGCAATTTAAAAGGTTGAGTGACAAACAACTTTAGTATTTAGTGGGTAGAAAATGTTCAATTCGTGTTATTTTTGTTTGATTAATGCTTAACTTGACCATCTTTTCTAGTGGGTAGACAGTGTCACTTTTTAATATGACACTATCACTTTTTTTTTTAAAAAAAAATTTGTCACTTTTTTAAAATTTATCATTTTTCTAGTGCTATCACTTTTTTTTTATTGTTTGTTACATTTTTTTAATTTCTATCAATTTTTTGAGTGATAAATATCAATTTTTAATAAAAGTGACATTGTATGAAGTGACACTTAATTTTAAAAAGTGACATCGTATATTTCTTTTAAAAAAAAAAATATGTAACACTTAATTTTACACAATATTTTTTTACTTCCAGAATACTTTTCATATGATTTTTCAAAATATCTCTAATTTTAGGAGTATTTTTGTATGTTGCCAAAATCAGAAATTTATAATTCACATTAAAGAGGATCTTTACGTGTTATATGTGTGTGTGACAACTCACAATCCTATTCAACAAGACAAGACACCATGCATTGAAAATCTTGCATATATTTCCTATAATCAGCATTTGTGGGTCTTTTATCATTAACAACTAATTAATCTATTGTTCTCTTTTAATCAAGAAGTAATGTGAACATGCTGAATAATAGATAGAAAATAACTTTTTCCAACCAATTTCCATGTAGTTTCTTCTCATGTTCATTCGAGAAAGGGAACTTATTTGTTTGTAATGCATTCAAATTGGTCTACATTCACCTCCGACATCCACCAAAGGATTAGACAATTGGCACCACCCAAATGCCGCCACCACCACCACCAGCACGCAGATTTGTACTGCGCCACCAAGCAACACCATCAGCACCATCCAAACGGTGTTGCCACCTCACCACCACAACCTTCAAAGACACCACCACCACGTAGATTTGTACATCTATGATAGAATCTGTAATAATACCAA